GAGATGCGTTCAATTGGAAATCCCGACGCGTGTAGCGAATAACGGATCGGTATGTTTCCTTCGCGGTTTTTCTCTCTTTTTTCGGTTTCCTCATCCTTCGCCCCGCGTCATCGGGAACATACGTGCGTCGGGACTGCAAAGGCGCGCGCATAAGCGCCGCGCGATATCGTAAAAGCGCGAGAACAGATAAAATGCGATATGTAAAGATATGTTAATATCGCCGGTTGGCATTTGCGACGACTTGTATGTTTGTCTAAACCGTGACTAAACTGCATAAAACTACCACGACGCGGTCTGTTGTTTTCGCGGGGAAAAAGTAGTTTTACATTCGCGAATTATGTAGTAATTGAGAGCGCGCCGGCTCTACGTAATAAACTGGTTTTATTATCGCGGCTCGTGTGACGTGTCTCGAGCCATCGTCGTTGTGATGTTTGTGACTTAATGTATATGGAAAAAAAGAGATAGAGATCTAATGTGGAAATCGAGTAGCGCCGCGACAGTTTAAAGAGAAGCGGTAACAGCGATCGTATTCTCTTCTCTCGAGATACTCGCTGGAGAGAAGGAGCGCTGCTCTTCGAGCCGTTCAGCTCCGGCAGAATTAATACCTGTTCCGTGACGCCATCATCCGCGTAAGTGTGCTTGTACTTAAATCGTCAAACTCTTTCGGCATTAGTATCAGTCCCGTGTTAGTGACCTCGGAGTGTCAAGAACTATGATGGATAGACTCAGTAGCGAGACACACAAACGGGCACAAGCCTCCGGGATTGTACTCGGAGAACATCGGTTCTCTTTCTCTTTCTCCCTCTCTCTCTCTCTCTCTCTCTCTCTCTCTCTCTTCTTTTCTCTCTTTCTCGCACAGTCCTTTCTGCGATAGACTGGCCGCGATAGACAACCGACGGGAAGAAATTGACGTGATTCCCTCCGAGATAATCCTCGTGTCTCTCTCTCTCTCTCGTACGCCTCATTGCTGCAGCGAAATTTTACTTGTCATAAACGAACCGTTGTGGAAGAGATGCTTCGTCCCTCGTCGCTATATATACGTATACGTATTCGCTTGTTTAGAGAACGATTCGCGCGAGAGAATCGACGCTCCCTCGGCGCGCCCGCGGAATGTTGTCTCCCGTGTGTTAATTGGCAATTTTATTGTCGCGTGGAATCTTCCATATTTTGATCGACGAAAATTACGCTGGCCGAGGTCGATTTTTCGGTCAGTCGTCCTGTTTTCGCGCGCAAAACGCAGCGCGATCGACGGCGGCGGTAAGATATTACGTGCGGCGAATCCCATTACGTCGTTAGAAATAAGATGACATCGAGAGATTACTGCCGACACCGTCGCGACGTCGTCGAAACCGCGCGATATTTGAGATACGACGTCGCGATATCCATCGGGACAAACCTTAATTTCCAAGATGTATCGCCGTCTAAACACAGGCGCGCTCCAGCGCGCCGGACGCGCGGCCGATACAGCGGCAATTACTCATCTCGAAGGTTTTAATGAAATCGGCTGTGATTTAGCGTTATAGAAAACTGGTATGCGCGCCTCGACGCGCTCGGGAACGCGCGCGCGCGCGCGCGCGCATGCGAGAGCAGAAACGCGCGCTCGGACGAGCGAGCGGACACGAGCAAAAAGCTAGCGGGAAGGAGGACGTGACGTACGGGGACGAAATCAAAGCACACGCGAAAACCGGATGCGCAGGTGAAGTCTCCGTAATAGGGGTACTCGCAATTTACATATGTATCCACCAGAGCCTAGCATATACGCGCGCGCCGGTGTCCTCGGAAGGTATTCTCGTCTACGAGCCGAACGACGTCCGCTCTTTCTCGCTCCTTCTCTCGCTCCCTCCTCTTCGCCTCCGTCCTCTTCTTTTCCGCCTCGCTCGCCTCCTCGCTCGCTTCCCTTTTAACCTTTTTCTCGTGTTACCTGCTCGGGATACACACCGGTCACGTACGTACTTACGCGCGTACGCACGAACGGCGCACGCAATGCGAGACGGCGATGCGTACCGGCATTATTCGAAAATTCGGTCGTCGATGCACGAGTCGCCGGCGATCCTTTCTCTCGATTCGGGACCGCTTTTAGCGGCCTGGCGGTGTGCGCGCTCTCGGCGGCGGCCTCGCTTTTTCTCCGGCGAGCGAGCGAGCGAACGAGCGACGGGGCGGATCGACGGAAGCTTCTTCTTGCGCGTCCCCGGGGCTCCCTGGCCGAGATCCACGGGATGAAATTGCCGAGTCTTCGTGCATTATTACGGCGAATTCGCTTGAAATGCGTTAACGAGGGATCGATCGCTGCGGGATTTTGTCCGATTATTTGCGGCGATGTCTGAGCCATGGGTTATCATTTCAGCCTCGTGTATCATAAGTTACTATTATTAAAGCTTCATTTATTAGGCCCCTCGGAACGGATTTCCTCGAGCGCGAGTACACAATGTGTTAGGAAGCCCGCGGGATTGATTTATGTCGAATCTCATAAATAAATAAAAGTACGATCGAGTGGTGTTATTACACGATGTAAAACGTACGACGTACGAGGGAGAGAGGCGCAGAAGGCGCCGTGTGTAACCGCGATGAATCCAAATTTCGACATACGAGAGTAATGATCTCTATATTTATTTGCGATAATTGCTCCACACACACACACACACACACACACACACACACACACACACAGTGTACGTAGTTTCGTACTCACCAAAATTACAGCAGTTTCGATCGCTGCAGGAGACTGAAATTTATTTGAGCCCGTGACTCGCAGGAGAGAAAGAGAAAGAGAAAGAGAGAGGGAGGGAGGGAGGGAGGGAGGGAGAAAGATACGCGATTGCAATTAATTCCCCGTGTATAAACTCGTAATCGCACGAATTTACTGCCAACGTCGAGCCATAAACATCGACCCGCGCCCCGTGAGAAAACGTTGCCGAAGAATAGATTCGCGCACTCGTGCACGCGCGTCGCACATGCTAAACGCGTATGCTATCGTTTAATACGGCGGGAAGGAGATTCGAGTGAAACATTGGCGCGATACGATAACAGACCCCAGAGGATCGCACCGACAAGAAGAATAGCTTCTCGCGGCGCGGGATATTTCATCGCCGGTGAAGTCTGTGTTTGCACTTCGCTCGGAATGAAGTTTTCGCCCGGATGACCGCGCATAAATTCATTGTCTGGACGAGAGCGGGTATTATGCGCCGAGCGCAGAATCGCAGCCACGGAATCGCCCACCAATACACGCTCGTACGCCCGACATTTCACCGCACAAAAACTCACATACACGCATGTCCGCGGCGTGTTCCGATGATCGGCTCGTCGGCCCGTTCGTCGTGCCTGTGCAAACAACCGCCGAGGAAAATATTTGCACAGGATAACTCGGATCCTCATTATCGGGGTGGCTGGTCTTTCTCTTTCTCCCTCCTTTCTTCTTTCTTTCTCTCTCTCTCTCTCTCTCTCTCTCTCTCTCTCTTTCTCGCGCGCGCGCGCTCAGGGTCGACGGTTGTCCAGGTGCGCGAAGAGGAACGAGGAGGAAGTTGGAGACGTAGGTAGCGCGAGAACGAGGGAGAAACAGAGACGGAGGAGGGAAGGGTGGAAGGAGGGAGATTGATTCGACATGCATAAATTAGAGAGGATGAGCCTTTATTCCATAGCGCGACTCACGGGATCGGGATCGGGATTGGAATTGGGATGCACGGGAGAGGAGTATAAATTGATGACTGCAGGCAACAGGCAGGGGTTTATAATAATTAATCTTCGTACGTGTATACGTATTTACGACGTGACCCTCCCTTCCTCCCTACCCACCTTCGTCGTCAGCCTCTCCTCGTCATCTGCTCCGGACCCGGTGCGGTGGCAATGTACGAGATTTCCTCCTCGATCCGCGATTAAGTTTATCCCCGTCGCGCGGAGACAGGTGATGCGCGTACCGCGGCCGATGGAAATTCAAGTGCCAAAATGCAGATTCCGCGGTAAAAACTGCGCCATGAATAAGAATGCAGGCGGGCAAACGGACGGACGAATGTCTCCGCGCTGGTGAAATCTCTAAAAACGCAACCGCGAGCGTTCAGCGCGCAAAACCCCGTCCGCCCTAATCGGCACTTTGATTCTTTTTATTCAAACGCACGATCGAGCGCCGAGACGAGCGTCCTCGTCGTCGTCGTCGTCGTCGTCGTCGTCACTGAACATATATATATATATATATATATATTTTTTCCCCGTCCTTTTTTTTCTTCTTTTCACGGAGTCGTACCCGAGTCGCGCGCACTCCCATGAATTTCATCATCGCGGATCGTCCCAGCCGCCAGCCGGAAGGTATTACTTCGGCGTAAAGTAACGACCGGTGACAAATATCCAGGTGGCTGAGCTCACGTATATGTGTACCTCCTCTCGCGCTCTCGCGCGCAGGCGATTAAGTATCGCGATGTGCGCGTCGGCGATAAATTACCGGCGCAACTATGCGCCGCGCACGACGCGCACTTCCACCGCTGGTGGTCATTGCTAAATTGAGGAATCATCAGCGCGGCTTATGCGCCGCGATTATCGCTAATTGATAAATTCGATGGGTCCGTTGTAATTTATTACATTCTACCGGGCCGGTTATTCCTAACAGTTATCCCGCGGCGCATTCATTACCGCGATCTTCGGGGGAGACTTTTCAAGCGACATCGCTTATGGCCGTGTCGCCACAACAGCGCGAATCGGCCGTTCGATGAGTATTGTGTTGGCCGTGGGGGACACACTTCCTTCTACCGATAGATCCGTGAAGCGCAGCGCGCGAAGAGCGGACACTCCTTTTACGATCGTCTTTCACATTTTCGCCGGGGAGATAATTGCTTGTCACGTACTTGCGTATTTTCGAAGTAGTATAAAGTCGCTGATTTTATACAACTCGAGTCCCGCGAAGTTCGCGATGTATGATACTTCGTTAGACGTCTCATCGCGATCGAATACTTCATACCGATTGTATCTCGAGATCTTCGCAAGACTGAACGAATCCTTCGGTTTTGTGGTTGCAGGCGACGCAGTCGCGGCGAGGAGGACACCAACGGCAACGTCGTCAGCGACGACGCTCAGCAGCAGCAACAGCAACAGGCCTACGTGTCCGGCCAGCGTGAACCGGAAGAGGAGGAAGAGGAGGCGGCAGCCCAGGCGGCGCAGTCCCTGCAGAGCGGCGCCGAGGACGCCGATCCGGAAGTCCACAAGAGGGTCGCCGCTGTGCAGGTGCAGGTGCAGGGTATGGAGGGCGACTGGCGCACCTACTGCGAGCATCCGCTCTCCGTGGCGACCGCAGCGATGCTAAACCTGCAGCAGCAGCACCAGGTGTCGGCGGTGGCCAGCCACGGCGATGACGCTTCCTACGTTTACGAGTATTACAAGCTACCCGAGAAGACGACGGCGGACGTCAAGCTGCCTCCCACGCATGAGCTTTGGCCCACGTGAGTAGACCGATGCCGCGCGTTTTGTTGACGTGACCCTTGACCCGCAGTGAGACAAGATTTCCCGAGAATACACACACAGAGAGAAGAATTTGACTGAATTAACGAATTAACGAGGTGGGTGTTTTTTTTTTTTCTTTTTTTTTTTGCTTTTTTTCTCGCTCGATGGAAACAGGATTTCTACTAATTGTAAGACAGATTCGGATCTAAAAGACAGAAATCGTGTCCTTCAAGGCACAAAAAGTGACTCGTTCGTTGTCAAGAGAAGATTATTGCTATTATTAATTCGGTTTATCTTTTTCCTCCGCGCTCTGCAGAGTTTGAAGCGTCCTTCGTTTACGCAATAAAATTATACTGTTTTTATGCAGAAGATGCAGTTATTTCGTTAATCATCATCGTATCGCGGTAAAAGTTACAAGGTGCTCCAAACTTTCGACAGTGTAATCATCGATTGTGCAAACATGTCGATACCGCTTATCTCCGCTCATCAACTGTGGCGCGCTCGTTTAGAGATTTAGAGAGAATGCCGCGCCGGTGGCTTCAAGTCGAAATGAATCTCTCGCGACGGTAATTACGCGTTTTATTATTTCGTGTAAAATCGAATAACGTGACTTTCGCGATTGGTATTACGGTAAGTTGTTGCAGTAAGTTGCACAGGTTATCGATAGCATCGAATTGTCCCTAGTCTCTCTCGCGATGGAGAATGCATGTTCCTTTGTTGTTCCGTAATGCCAAGCGCTATAATGTTTGAGTAAAATTTCACGGTTGGCGAATTAATCTCTGATAAAAAGAGCCGAAGACAACGGCCGTTATTATGCACGCTTTACGCAACACTCTCTCGCCGCTGCGGAGCGCCTGGCGCGCAGGATCTTCTCGCTATCTCGCTATTTCAGATTCCCATCCGCGCGTGTAAGCTTCGTAATCATACGCGAGCCGGGAAAGAATCGCGATTTTCCACGGCTCGATCCATGGAATATAATCACGCTCGCGAATGCAGGAAGATTCCGCCGCGCGCACCTCTCTCGCGCATTTAAATAATTCAGAAATATCCGCACGCGCGCACGTCCTCTCGGCTCTCTCCCCCCCCCCCCTCTCTTTCTCTCTCTCTCTCTCTCTCTCTCTCTCTCTCTCTCTCTCTCTCTCTCTCTCTTTTGACAGAGATTAACTGGAAGCCTGCGAAGTCCGAGTGAAAAATGATCCGTGGAAAGACAGCTTTGGAAAAGTTAATAGTTTTTACTTCTCAAGCATTGAAGAGACAGAGAGGGGGAGGAGGAGAATCTCGACTCGATGAAAAGGAGGAGTACTTTTGATAATTCGTAAGAACTCGAGCAGGAACAGAATTCTAATTTTCGCAATAGAGCGAAGTGAGTCTCCTCCCTCTCTCCCTCCCCTCCTCCCAACGCGAAATAATAAACGCTCCGGATGCTCTTCCGACGAGTATATTCGATCTTTCCCCTTTTTCTTTTTTTCTCCGCCGAGATCGTTTCTTACGATTCGAGCAACACGCCGCCTCACGTTAATAACTTCCTCGTTGCCGTCATTACATTCGCCGTGATATCGTTGTTCTCGTACATCAATATAATTCCCGCGAAAAGCGAACGCGAAAGAGATTAATTATTTCTCGCGCCGACTCACACCGAAAAATCCGTGGCCTCGGCGGCGGCGGCGGCAGCCGCCGTGGAAGCGCCTCTTCTGCGGCCGCTCACGCGCTCACGTATAGCGCGCACGTAACTTTATGCACTCGCGCTCTCGCGGCTCTCGTCCGCGCGATGCACTTAATTTAGAAACGTGCGGTGCACGTGGCTAGGCTAGGCCGCGCGATGCGCGTACGTGGCTCATCCATAAACACGTGCGTGTGCGTGACGACTATGCACCTGGTGCATCGGGAGGACTCGATTAGCGTAGATCCGCAGATAGTCCCGTGTTCCAGACGCGCGCGCGCGCGCGCGCGCTGCAGTGCGAGCGCTTTCTGTACGCCGCGCGCGACCGCGGGTTATTAGCTATTCGTGTTTCGCCGTATCTCGATTAATAGTCTCGACCGCGAGTAATTGAGTGCTCGCGGTGAGCATAATTCGTTACCGCGGCCAATTATGTGGGACAATCGCGTGTAGAATCGGCCGATATAAGGAGACGCGTGACGCGTTAATTAGACGACTCGAGCGGCGTCGGGGCGCAGACGCGCGTCAGCTTCGTTATCTTAATCGCCGAGTAAACGCGCAAATGAGACGCGCATACGCGAGACTGAGATTCGGCAACGCGACGTTACACTACGCGTTTTCCCCTCGCCCAGAAATCGGCCGAAACGCATCAGGGAGGAAAGTCCTCTCGCTAATTAGAGGAGAGATCGGAGGGATGCGATGTGTGGATCGCTCCGGACCAATTACGAATCCGTCGGCGCCGCGAAGAGGAGAGCGAGAGGGCGAGAGGAGCGCGCGGAGCGCGCTTAACGCGGGCCGCCGGGCTATTACGAACGGAGGGAACAGTGATCGCAATTCTTCGGGAGTTTATCGATATTCCATAAATCTCTCGCGCGCTTAAACGAGTGCGCAGCGTGCCGCGTCGATAAATGGGACCTCCTCCTCCTTCTCTCCTTCTCTCTCCGCTCGCGCGGAACCACGAACGTTCCCGATTCCACGTCGCTCCTCTTCTCGCATTACCGCTACGAGGCAATTTAGTGGAGTTTAGTTGGGTAGATATATTGCTTCACCGGTCGAGCCTATTTATATCTCGCGTACAAGTCTTCCGGTCCATTTGCTCGGTTTGCAAACTGCACCATCGCGCCGGCGTTTTACGCGTCGTGCGAGAAAAGAACGGGAGAGCGAGCAAGAGAGAGAGAGAGAGAGAGAGAGAGAGAGAGAGAGAGAGAGAGGAAGAAAGAGCGAGTGACTCTCCCTCGATTCGTGACGGGGGTCTTTCTCTCTCTTTCTCTTTCTCTCCTGATATTTTGAACCCGGTCGCTACGTAGGACTATGCGCGCGTTCTTACCCCTATGCGCGCCGTGCACCACGTAGACGGAGGCCGACGGGTAAAGGACTCTCTCTCACCCCTCGGGGACCCACGACGGCCCCACTTTTGATTTATATCGGCCGCTTAGCATATTTTGTAATTTACTGTTGAGAATCCTCAACGTACGAATCGTGTCAGCCGAGGGCAGCCGTGTGCGGTGCAGCGCGAACGCGACAGCAGCAACAGCAACAGAGAGCGGCGGCAGAAACGCGCGCTCGCGCGCGCCGCATCAGGAACATCACCAACAGCACTTTCTGTTACCGACCTCGCCGTGGGGAGATGTCGCCCTAATCTTCCCTCGCATCTTCTCCTTTTCCCCCCGCTGCCTCTTCGCGTTACCTTACCTTGCCTTGTCTCTCTTCCTCTCTACCTTCATCTCGCGCGTCGTATCATCCTATCTGCCTCTCCTACTACCTTCCTCTCCCCCCCCCCCCCCGCTGAGAGATGATAGCATCTCAACAATTTGTACGGCGGTAGATCGTTAAAACTCCTCTCGCTCGAGACCGTCGCGTCGCTGCGGGGAGAGACGGAGAAAGAGAGGCAGGAGGAAAGAAGCAACAGCGAGCCGCCGAGCTACCAAGGGCACGACTTTAATCCAATTTCATTGTGTCGCGCTCGCTGAAGGGATCAGAGCGTGTCTTTGCAGCCGGCCGCGACCGCGCGCGAAAATGGGAAAACTGAGAGCAGTGAACGCGACTACGGTACAGACGGTGACGCGTCTCGACGCGGACAGCACGAATTCGCGAAATCATAGCGGCGCGCGCGTTTTCATCATGCTTCGTTCGATCATGCTTCTCGTCGTCGACGAGAAGCGGCATTTCCCAGTGCTTTCCTCGCGATTTCTTTCTCACGGTCTCGCGAGCCTCGCGACCAATGCGCGTTCGCGATGGCGCGCGCCTCGCGGTAAAAGCTGACGGGGCTTCTTCCTTCTGAATCGCGTCTCTCGTGCAGTTCACTTTTTGTTTTGCAACAGCGTTTGCCGCGGCTACCGGAGGACAAACTTTTGCGACGACGTCTTGCGGCGCCGGCGTCGTAAGGCAGTCGATACGAGTGTTCGAAGCGTCGGACAAGCGCGCGCGCGCGCTGTGGCTCATGACCGCGAGATTAGAGAAGCCATTTGAGACGACCGCGAGCATGAAGTCACTTCAGAAACTTGTCAGCACAGCTGCGCTTTGAGTCCCGCTGAAAAGCACGAGGCTGATTCGCGCCATGGAGGCTGGAGCGCCGCCGCGTCCGTGCCTCCTCGACGCGGGCGGCAACGTGGAGTCGTTCGGACGTATTAAATAATAACGTTATCATGTCCGACATGAGCTCCGGAAAAATACGCGGAACTCGCCGCGGTCACGCCGAGAGACGGTCGTGTCGTAATTCGAATAATGGACCCGCTGCGAAGCCAAGCACCGACGGGAATACTCTCCTCAATTAACCATATTGTTGTAAGCGCATAAGGATACCATTAGGTGTCCGCGGCTTTTTGAGGCGCGTTCAATCCATAGGAGACAGGGCCGCATCCACGAGACGAAACAAACTCCGTGCGCCTCGCTTCGTGCTGAATACCGAGGACGACCTCGTTGTCTCCTAAGCGACTATACTTCACTTTCTTCATGTATCCTCGATCTGCGGTTTCCGATCGTCGGCCCGACATCGAGAGACGGGAGTAATGATTGAAAGTCGTTTCTTCTGGAGGTGAAGAAAAGAGGAGCGGAGAAAGAAGGGAGAGAGGGAGAGAGAGAGAGAGAGAGAGAGAGAGAGAGAGAGAGAGAGAGAACGTTATAGTCGAAGTGTTGAAGAAAGAGCACCCTTGCGCGTTTCAGGCAAAGTATACGCAACCGAGTCTGCGGAGGAGGAGACGGCGGATAACTCGCCGGGACTCTTACGGAGTCTGGCGGTCGCTTAAGGTTCGCCACGGGGTTGTGGTATGATGGCGCAAAGCCATCGAGAATCGGCGTACGGTTTCACAGCAAGCCGCCGCCGTAAAGACGGCCTCCCGGCAC